AAAAAAAATCAGAAAGTGAGCTTGAGCACAAAAACGTTCCTCCCCTATTTTAGAATTTGGGAGAAGATGTGAGGTCTGGCTTTAAGGAACAGGAGAATTGAGAAGCAAACCAGTACAGTGGGGAAGACAGGATGATGGACTCTCCCATACCAATGAAAAGTGCTCGAACAGATGGTGGTTGTTCACAGCCTCAGAAGAGGACAAGGAGCTGGAGACTGCCCCACTCTAAGCAGCGGCTAAAGAGAGGGAAAGTGGTCGCCAGGGTAGGATTAAAAACATGGGCAAGAGCAGAAGTGGATTCCACCAAGGGCTGTTAAACATGCAATACCCTCTCACAAAAGAAGTCGGAGGAGTCCTGTTCTCAGGCTATGTTTAATAAAAGGAAAATTAGCAACCTTTTTGGAACCATATCAGTGTAGCCCTTCCCAAATCCAGAAGCATGAACTAAATGTCCACTTGGGATCACTTCCAGGTCACAGGTTCTAAGAAAAACAAGCTTCGTCTAAAATGAATGAATAACCAAAATGTGGTGTGTATATGTGTGTATATATATGATAGACTATTATTCTCCCATAAAAAGGAATGAAGTTCTAGAACATGCTATGGGAACATTATGTAAGTGAAATAATCCAGACACAAAAGGACATGTATTGTATGATCTGATTCATATGAAGTATCTACAGTAGACAAACGCATAGAGACAGAAGGTGGATTAGTGATTACCAAGGCTTGAGGGGAGGGCAGAATGGGGAGTTACTGTTTAATAGGCATAGAGTTTCTGTTTGGGGTGATGAGAAGCTTTGGAAATAGACTGGTGATAATTGTACAACTTTCTGAGTGTGATGAACACCACTGGATTGTACACTTGAAAAGAGTTAAAATTGCAAATTTTCTGCTGTGTGTATTTTACCACAATAGAAAGAAAACAAAACAAAACTCACAGACTCTCACTCTGTGAGGAAATTAATCTGCCCGCTGCTGAGCACAGCACTAAAGAGGATATGAGGATCGCTGGAGTCTAGATTGAAGTGGTACAGGCTGGACTGGTCTAACAGCTACGAAAGTTAGCTACGGCTGTGTTTAATATTTGGGTGTTCAGATTCAAGGTGAACACACAGGACTTTGGTACTTTAACCAGCCAAACCCTTCTGTAGAAGAAGCCTGATAAGATGAGCGTGTTTCTGGTTTGTTGAAAAATATTTACACTCATTTCTAAGTAGTGTCATTTATTTTCTGTAACATTTGCACGCGCACACACACACGGATAGGCCCTTATACTGCGGTACTGCGGTTGTAAAAGAAATGTTATTCTACCAAAAAATTGTCTTTCCCACTAGTCTCTTCTTGTACAATCTTTTCAGGTGTATTTTTCCTGTTTAGGCCACTAAACATCATTTAAAGTTTGGGGCTGGCCGAGCGTCATTCCCCTTTAAAAAAAAAAGAAAGCAATTGCTATCAAGTTGACTCCGACTCCTGGAAACCCCCACAGGTTTCAGAGTAGAACTACTCCATAGGGTTGTCAAGGCTGTGATCTTCTGGAAGTAGATCGCCACACCTGTCTCCTGAGGCAACTCTGGGTGGATTCGAACCACCAACCTTTCAGTGAGTAGTCAACCACTTACATCTGTGCCACCGAGGGACCCCTACTCCCCTTTAGTGATAGGTGAACGCCGGGCTAGGCTGAGCAGAGCTGTTAGCCTCCACGATACACGACTTCAAATTGCTGTTTTGTGCCTTGTCCTTGATGTTTAGGATTGCTTTGCTTTCTCCCTTAGTATCAATTGTTCAAAGGTTCAAAGCCACCCGGGCCTCCCGGGTAGAAAAGACCTGGTGATCTGCTCTGGTAAAGATTACAGCCTAGGAAGCCTTAGGGGGCAGTTCTAACTCTGTCCTACAGGGTCAGTATGAATTGAAACTGACTCGACAGCACATAACAACTATATGCTAGGTATTGTGCTGTCGCGGTATACTTAACCTCCCTAATCCTTACTCACCTCTGAATTAGGCAGTATATCCATTTTACAGATAAGGAAGCTGTGGCTCAAATCATTTGTCTGAGTATCGCACCAGGTAGATGGTGGACGTAGGACTTCAGTCTCTCAGGCTCTAAACCTGCCCCCCACTTCACTCCTCCCCAGTTCCTAACAGAGCCGCCCTTTTGCTAGAAATGCTACAGTGTAAGAAGAAAGAGACACTGACTGGTTTTTTTTTTTTTTTTTGGCTTGGGGTGGGTGGGCCCTGGGGGCTCCCTGATAATTAAGAGTTGTGAACTTTTAGAAGAGTGTGCATTCGGGCACCCAGTTTGCCAATTTTGTTAACCTCCTGGGTCAAAGGAAAACAGAAACCGAAACCTTTTATAACATGTAAACTCACTGCCATCCAGTCGATTCCAACCCACAGCCACCCTGCAGGGCACAGCAGAACTATCCCATAGGGTTTCTAAGACTAATCTTTAGTGAAGCCGACTGCCACATCTTTCTCTCACGGAATCGCTGGTGGGTTTGAACTGCGGTTAGCAGCCAAGTGTTTTAACCACAGCGCCACCAGGGCTCCTTGTAAAATGTAAAAGTCTATACAAATATAGTCCTTATGAATTTTTGGACAGGTAAAGGGATAATAATAATAAGACATTTCAATCCATTTCAGAAGCAAGCAAACTAAGACAGAGTACAGTTGAGCCTATACAATGGAAGTTCATTGTGTGGCCAATGGCCTCCGAAGTCCCCCACTGAAACTCTGTAGAAGCCTGTGCTCACAGAGTTTGAGCATGAAAGCCGTGGAGAGAGTCGGACAAAACTCAGTACTAGGTTTTGGCAATTTTATTGGAAAATAAGTACAGTACATTGATCAATGATATATGCTGTACATGAATCTGTTGTTTTAATATAGAAAAATATTTGGCATTTGCTGCAGAATTATATAAACAAGTTAAAAAATTACCTTCATCATTAACCGGTATAAACATAATTTATCCAAAATGTCATTAAAAATGGCTCAATACCTTCTCTTTATTGCAAATATAAAATAACAACATTATAAAGGCAGGAGAGAAACTCAGTTATGCTAAACCAGCCTTAACAGCTGGTAATTAAATAATCTGTCACACTGGCAGACTTTTTTTTAAGCTCTTGAAGCTGACTTAAAAAAAATTACTATGAGAAAGTGCAGTCAAACCTAATTAATGGGGAGGGGTGAAAGGAAACACTTGAGAGGTTTTAGGGAAAACAAAAAGTCAAAGGAAGTTCACATGGAATGAGGAATGTAGTTTCTTTCTCCTGGAATCCTCCCTGTCCTGAGGTGGGAGTGTTGTTCCACTTTCTGGTTTGGGATCCTCCTCCGCCCACACTGATGAGTTGATTTTGGTTCCTCCCTAAATTCCAGGTGAAATGCTCCTTCTGATTCTCGGTTGCTTTCCTGCCTCCTTACTTTCTGGCCAATTCTGTCTCTAATTCTAAATTGCAGCACTGCCTTTCTTGGGGCTACCCATGCCGTTCTATCTTAAAGATGACTCACTAAAAAATCATCTGCAAATTATATTTTTAAAGCACTTCATAGGCATTTTGGAACATGATACCGCCCGGCTGGACTTCAGGCTGCCACAGTGGGTGCCACCGAAATAAAGGAAGCATCTTTGAAAAGGGTCTCTCCACCACAACACGATCACTCAAGGCCATCCAACCGGAGCCAAGGGAAAAGGAGGGAAAGGGTCGGTACTGAACTCTGTGGTTCTGTCTAGCTCTGATTGCTTGACGAAAAAAAATACAGTATTCTTCCAAATAATATTTCATGTTCACCCTTCATATTACTTATTGTTGTTAGGTGCTGTCGAGCCTGTTCCAACTCACAGCAACCCCACGTACAACAGAGTGAAACGCTGCCCAGTCCTGCACCATCCTCACAATCGTTGCTGTTTGAGCTCATTGTTGCAGCCACTGTGTCAATCCATCTCACTCACGGTCTTTGTTAGATATTAAAATACGCGAAACAGAAGGGCTGTCCTTGATCACACAGCTTTTTAACATGAGCGCGTACGCTTTGGTAACGGGCACAGAAACAGCCCTGTGGTTCTCTGGGGTCTCCAGAGGACTATCAAATTTTTAAAAATATTTTTCTATACCCCTGCAAAAATGTTTTTGTGTGTTATTTTTATTTTAATAAGAGGTATTTACTTTTAGGGAAAGAATATATGAAAATAGAAAAGGGGTTTCATAAAATCTAAACATAATTTTTGAAAATTCCAACATTCAAAATTTGGAATTAGGTTTCTTAACGAAAAGCACTCCTAGACGCAGTCACCACCTAAGTGAACTATCATTTCTTCTCACACACTCGCCCATGCGGGGCTGGGGGGCATTTATTGACCCGACATCAAGTATTCAAAGCACTGGACTGGGGCCAGACACTGAGGTTCAAGCCCTGAGAACAGCAGTATTCAGTGCATCTTTTTTTAAAAAAAAAAAACAGGTCACTTTTTCTCTCTACAAAATTAGAATTGCAAAAATTAATTAAGAAAATCTGAGAACATCTTATAAACAATACAACAATATGCAAATATGTTATATGTGCAAATGACTCATGGAAGGCACCTAGGTGCAAGAGGCACACCCACAGGGCCTTGCCTGAGGAAGGCGCAGCTTCCAGCTGGAGAAAGACCCGCTCTTGCACAGGAAGTGATAACAAACAGCAAGTACAATCAGATTGTGAGGAAAGAGAGCATTTCAGGGTAGGCTCTTGGGGAATATGGCATCGGAGTAAATGCTGAGCTTCAGTAAAATTCTGGTCAGCTGGGGAAAATGGGAGAGGGCGTTCTAGGCAGAGAGAACTGGGTGGAGAGGCACAGAGAGAACAGATGGAAGAGCATTCCAGGAGCCCTGGTGGCGCAGGGGTCAAGAGCTCGGCTGCTAAGCAAAAAGCCGGCAGTTCAAATCTACCAGCTGCAGTCCTTGGAAACCCTATGGGGCAGTTCTACTCTGTCCTTTAGGGTTCCTCTGAGTCAGAATCGACTTGATGGCAATGTTTTTTTCCCCCTAGGAACGAAGAGGGCTGAAGCTGACCTGGGGGTTTACTCAGCAGGACAGTGAAAGGGAAGGTGTGAGGACATGCTGAAGCCCCACTGGTGGGATACTGGGCCCAAAAGGTGAAATTGAGCTCATACGCAAGGAGCCCGAGGGAGGTTTTTTTTTAAGCAGGAGCAGGATGAGCTGAAAGCAGTGTTTTATGCAGGGTGTTAATCTGTGGACCGTGTATGTGACAGCGAGTGGGAAGGAGGGAAGAAGGACTCAGCAGTTGTCCTTTCAAAGAAGTAATGAGTCAAACAAAATGCAGATGAATAAAGAAGGACAGAGTGTTCGTCCCAGGGAGGAAAACATGGAAGGGGTGAAACAGGTCTCTGCCACTGTTGCTTTAAAAACTTCTCTCTCCTTCGGCAAGCTAAGGTTACTTCAAAACCTTGGAATCCTGAAGCATCCTGTTGTTCACTGAACTGACAGTTTTAAAGGTCTGTGAAATGACATTCCGTCTTTGGAAACTGACTGCTGGCCGTCGATGCACATGGGAAATACAAGGCAGGTGTAAAGTTCTCCAGAAATAAGTACTTCCTCTGTGAGCTATCAGTCCTACAGGGCAGCACAGCCGCATCAGGGAGCACACTGCCGCATTCCCAAAAAGGCCCCACATCCACTGCCTCGGGACACAGATCACTTCATAAAACCATTTCAGATGATGAAAATTCGCTGTGCTTTTCTCTACTCTGCTGTCCCAGGGCCTTTTCACAGCAGTGCAAGCTTTAAGAGAGGGCCTTGCCTTATAAAGACTTTCCCAAGCCCTCTACTCTACTCTGTCCTGCCCTGCCGTTGTCACCACGTCCTGCTCCGTTAACCATCTGATTCCAGGTGACCTCAGGGATAAAGGACTATACGTGTGCTCTTTATATGACTGGACATCAGCGGGAGGCACAGCCCAGCCTGGAACACCTTAAGACATGAGTCAGCCAAGGAACTCTTTGCCCATGTTTCTCCATCCTACCCAAGAGGCACATGGACCTCTCCTTGGAATTTCTCCATAGAGTCTGGGCTAGTGGCTACAGACAGTAAGTTCTGTGCGGATGAAGGCATTTTCCGCTGAGCTGGCATGTGGTACCTTACGTTCTTCCAGAACCTTGTCTTTGCAGACTGTGACTTCTCCGTAAAGTCCCCTGACCATCGTATGGCCCTGTGCTTCTGCCTAACGAACTGAATTGATTCTGACAGTTTCTCAGAGTCTTGGATTTTCTCCAGCTCAAGCAGGATAACTTTAATTCCATCTCGAATGAGAGCACTATACATAGCAATCTGCTCTTCGGATGTATTCCCCAGAAAGCTGAGTCCCAGTGCATCTTGGACTAAAATGATAATCAGTCTTCTGCTTTTCCTTATGTTTTCATCGATGACCTCAACAATGGCTGAAAACATGAAGCACAACACAGTAAGTAAAATTCAATTTTTAATCATTCTCTACAAAACCAAAATCTCCCATGGTTCTGCCCACCCCACCCCCACCCCCACCCCCTATGTCTCCTAGTGGTCTTTTTTCTTCCCTTATATTTAAAATTTAAGGAGTGTTCTCTTTTATAGACCAGTTCAAAAGTTCATCCACAGAAGCTGAACATTTCATTTAGGACTAAGAAGATTATTCAACACAAATGTAAAACCCTTGTTACTTTACTTTTTTATACAACCCCTATTTTATTTTATTGGAGTCCCTAGGTGGTGCAAATGCTTAAGTGCTTGACTACTAGCCAGACGGTTGGTGGTTCGGACCCACCCAGAGGCACCTCGGAAGGCAGGCCTGGCAATCTGCTTCCGAAAAGTCACAGCCTTGAAAACCCGACTGAATCAGTTCTACTCTGCATGCAGAGGGCTGCCATGAGTTGGAATCAACTTGAAAGCAACTAACAACAACAAATTTTATTAGTTGTAAAGTAACTGTTGGGTCTAACTAGTTGTTAAGTTTTTCAAAATTAAATATAAATTAATTAATTATCGCTCCAAGAATATATGAGAGAAGTGAATACTTTGCATTTAATAAATGTGAAAATCATCACCATGCACCACTGAAGAGGTTCTTACAAACATGCGCACTTACGCCCTGGTGGCACAGTGGTTAAGAGGGTAGCTGCTAACCGGAAAGTCAGAAGTTCAAATCCACCGGCCGCTCCTTGGAAACCCTATGGGGCAGTCCTACTCTGTCCTATAGGGTCACTATGGGTCTAGAAAGATGGAACCCAACTTTAGTCATTAAATTAGTTTTAAACAATAAACCTTTTACTTTTTTCCATTAAATACATACCTTCCCCAACATAGTCATCCCTTCCGTAAATGAACAGATTATATCCACACTGTTTTTCCAAGACCTCAGGCAAGATTTTAAACACAAAAATATCTGAGTTAGTGGTGGATCCTTTCTCAACGGTCTTTGGATATAGTATATATGCATCATAGATCTTTCCATCTGAAGCTAAAGGGAAAATGTGATATATTTAGAACTAAAAGGAAAAATAAAAAATTTGGCAAAATCAGTATCACAAACGTGCGTTTTAGATTTAAATATTAATTTTTTGTATTGTATTATGAATGAAGCTGCAATACCAAAAGGGTAATACCTTGTCAAAATGTTCATCTCTTACAAGATTTCTATTTATTGTCTTTTACTACGAAGGTTCTTATATTGTATTGGATGTCTTTACCTCTCAGTACGTTTCTTAGTCATCTAGTGCTGCTACAACAGAAATACCACGAATGGGTGGCTTTAACAAACAGAAATTTCTTTTCTCACAGTTGAGGAGGCTGGAAGTCTGAATTCAGGGTGCCAGCTCTAGGGGAAGGCTTTCTCTCTCTGTGAGCTCTGGAGGAAGGTTCTTGTCTCTGAGCTTCAGCTCCTGGGCAGGCTTCACATGGCTTGGTGTTTCTCTTCCTCCATCTCTACTTCTCTCACGCTTGTTTAATCTCTTTTATATCTCAAAAGAGACTGACTCGAGATATACCCTACACTAATCCTGCCTCGTTAACATAGCAAAGACAACCCATTCCCAAATGGGATTATAACCACAGGCATAGAGATTAGGATTTACAACACATATTTTGGGGGGAACCATTTCAATCTGTAACAGTATGGAACTATCCTTAGCTCTCTGTTATTGTCTCCTTCCCCAAAAGTCTCAACCCCAAATTCTATCTTTTCCTCCTTTTCTTATTAATTGTCTCTAGAACCAAAATCCCACAAGGCTCCTCCCATCTCCACCCGCTATATCTTCTGATGGTCTTTTTTCTTCCCTTATTTAAAATTTAAGTTTTCTCTTTTATAGACCGGCTCAAAAATTCATTCACAGTAGCTGAACATTTCATTTAGAACTAAGAATAATATTCTTTATCCTTTTATATAGTATTGTGGTGTTAGTTTTTTGCAAGGTTTCAAAAAATTTACCAGGTTAATATGGGCAAAATGTTTCATGAGTAATTATTTGTACAACTTCAAAATGAGCAGTTTTGTACTAATTATGAAATTACGATTATGTATAAGAATAACTGCTATCCTTGTATATGTCGCATTTCACTTTAATACTTACGTAAAAACTCTCTGAGCCACCTTCCACGTCGCCTAACTATCCCCTATCTCTAACAAGGAAATACTGCATAGAATGCAAAATTATACCTTTTTGGGGGAGAAAATCATAGCAGGAATCCCTGTACCAAAGCACAATGTCAACCTTGAAGATTTTATAAACGAAAATGGAGCATGCAATTGCTACTGTTAATGTGACGAATATCCCAATCACGTGCGTCTGGCAATCACGGACTACAGTGGGAAAAGAGAGAAGAAGAAAAAATATTGGCGAAAAAGAACTAAAATTTTGAGCATAGCTAATTAAACATTTCCATCTCAGGGAAATCATATTTGGAGTTGGCCTGTGTTCAGACAGTATTAGCCCATTCATTACTCCCACTTATTAATGAATACTAATGTACAAAGCAATCTAGCATGGACATTATATATAATCAAGGTATGCTCTATTACATTTCCATCGAAATGGCGTAATGAACAACGTACAGAAAAATACCAAAGACTATGGACAGAGCACTCTATAGTAAAACAAACAAAAGTCAAATTCACTCAAATTCCCAGTGGTCAGAGGGTCAGATGGTGAAAGCTGAAGGCTAGGGGAAAGGACATAAGGGGACGCTATATACGATGTTTCATATTTCACATTCTCCTGGCCTCTCTTTGCGTTTCAGCAAAGTGTTGAAAAGCAAAGATGTCACCTTGAAGACTAAGGTGTGTCTGACCCAAGCCATGGCGTTTTCAATCGTCTCATATGCATGTGAAAGCTGGACAATAAATAAGGAAGACCGAAGAAGAACTGACACCTTTGAATTGTGGTGTTGGAGAAGAATATTGAATATACCATGGACTGCCAAAAGAATGAACAAATCTGTCTTGGAAGAAGTATGACCAGCATGCTCCTTAGAAGCAAGGATGGCAAGACTACACCTCACATACTTTGGACATGTTATCAGAAGAGATCCGTCCCTGGAGAAGGACATCATGCTTGGTAAAATAGAGGGTCAGCAAAAAAGAGGAAGACCCTCAACGAGATGGATTGACACAGCAGCTGCAACAATGGGCTCAAGCATAACAATGATTGTGAGGATGGTGCAGGACCAGGCAGTGTTTTATTCTGTTGTACACAGGGTCGCTATGAGTTGGAATCAACTCGACGGCACCTAACAAAAACCTGGCCTCTCTAATAATACATCCAGTAGAAAGAGGAGGAGGGAGGGATAAAAAAGAAAGAGGAGGAGAAGAAGAAAGAAAATGAAGGTAGAAAGAAGGAAGAAAAAGAAGAAAGTGTCTTCTAAATGTCAGGGACCTTGTAGGCATGTGGAATAGAATATCTAAAAGGTTAATTATTTAACTTTTCTAATTTAGAGCTTTGATTCATCTGGAATTGACTTTGGCATGAAGTAGAAGTCAAGATACACCATTTTCTAGATTAATTTCCGATTGACCCAGCTGACAGTTACCATTTACACTCTTAATTCCTGTAGCTTTATACAAACTTGTCATATTTGGTAGTGTAAATCCTCCAGATTTATTGTTCTTATTCAAGATCAGCTTGACTATTCTTGGCCCTTTACATTTCCCTAAGACATTTAGAATAAAATTCACAATTTACAGATATACCTCCAACAACGCACCCACATAAACACACACACACACACACACACCCCTGGTGAAATTCTGATTGGAATTGTTTTCAATCTATTGATTCATTTGGAGAGCACGGACATATTTCTAGTATTGATTCTTTCAATTTACAAGCATTTTAGATGCTGCCATCTATTTAAATCATCTCTAATATAGCTCAATAACATTATTTTAGTTTGTATTATAGAAGTCTTGAACAGCTTTTGCAAGATTTACTCCTAAGTATTTGATGATTTGTGATACTATTGTAAATGTCATCTTTCAAATTTAATTGCTATTTGTTTGTTGCTAGTATTTAGACATACATTTATATTCCAGTGATCTTGCTAAATTTCTTTACTAATTCTAATAATATGCCTGTAGATGCTTTAAGATTTTCTTCCATGTACACATTCATAAACACCCTACAGTTGACCGTTATACATGGAGGCGAATATGTTCCAAGACCTCCATGGATGCCTGATACCGCAGACAGTACTGAACTCTATATATACTATGATTTGTTCTAAACATACATACCTACAATAAAGTTTAATTTATAAATTAAGAAGAGTAAAAGGTTAACAACAATAACTAATAATAAAATAGAATGATTATAACAATATACTGTAATAAAAGCTATGTGAATGACGGAGAGGGATGGCGTGAGATTTCAGCATGCTACAACATGCTCACTTAATATTTTCAAACCACGGACAGTGAAACCGAGAATAAAGGTAGACCACTATATTTTTAAATCAACTGTCAATTATCTTAAAATATTTCATAACTACTTCCAAATACTGTGTTTGATTATACCAATATAATGAAAACCAGTAACTTCTAACATGCTGTTTGCAAAATGGATATATAGGCTTCCCCCTAGGTATCCATCTAATCATTCATGCAGTTATTTACCTAAAAACATTTATTAGGTTCCTGCAATGGACCGGACCTAAATTGCTACTAGCTCTAGAACAGAATGATGAGTAAGATAAACAGTCTGCTCCGTCACAGAATTTCAATCCAGGAAAGAACTAAGCGTGACAGATGCTGTAATGGGAACATATGGTGCTCTGGAAGAACACAGTTCTTCCTCGTCTGTTTGGGCAGTGAGCTAAGGGGAAACCAAAAACCCAAACCCACTGCCATCAAGTCGATTCCGACTCATAGTGACCCCATAGGGTTTCCAAGGCTGTAAATCTCTATGGAAGCAGAGTGCCACATCTTTCTCCCACGGAGCAGCTGGCGGTTAGCAGTTGATCGATCGCTTTAACCACTACGCCGCCACCAGGACTCCTTAAGGGTAGACAGCAGGACAGAGAAGCTTCCTAGAAGGAGAAATAGTTTGGCTGAGAAACGAAAGTGTAATAAAGGTAATCCAGTTAAGAGGAAGCAAAGCGTGTTCCAGGCAAAGAAAACAGCATTGCAAACCTCAAGGTCACGGTAAAACAAAACTGCACTTCAAACAAACAGTTTGCTGTTTACCTGGATGTATTAATTGAACATATGCTTCATTTTCGCCAAGCCAGTTCACAGCTCTACAGGTAAATGGATACAGATAAAATCTACTTTCCACTTCTGAAATATTAAGCATTGTGATTATTGTTTGCTTTTTTTTAGTTGGATTTTTCACTCTGTTCAAAAGAGAGAAAATAAATAAGTTGAGTAAACGGCATCAATGACAAATAAGAAAGTATATCTGTTTTGTCTCTTTATTTGTAATACAAATTGTGGCAGAAATAACCACTAATCCTAATCACAGGCATAGAAATCAGACTGCTGGCAATGCCTATGTGAGATTTTATAGCCCCAAGACCATTGCCAGTAACACACTAAGTAGCAGAGAAATCAAACTAGAATTACAAGCTTTCAAGAAAAAAAATATATATACACACACAAACACACATGTATATATATACACAAACACACATATGTGTATATATATATAAACACACATGTATATGTATATACACACAAACACACGTATATATATATACACACACACAAACACACATGTATATATATACACACAAACACTTGTATATATATATATATACACACACACACACAAACACATGTATATATATAGAGAGAGAGAGACATATGCTTTCTGGTCTTCATGGTACACAGAGAAGAATATATGAAAGAAGAGTAGTTTGGGACAGGTTATAAAAGGCTTTGCAGTTGATACACAGGCGTCCAGATTTCATCCTATCAGGAGGTAACAGGTAGTCACTAGAGACTTTTGAGCAATGGAGTGTCTAATTCCTGACCCTATTTAATGAGTCTTTTCTAAACTACTTTAAAAAGGAATAACAAGAAGAATTCAGGATAATTGCTTCACTGGACTGTTGCAACATTATATAAATGAGCTGAAGAGAGAACCTTCCAAATGGTCTGGAATTTCTACCATGATGACAGGTAGTTTACCTTAAATGTTCACAATCTTATAGTAAATTCTGCTTAGCTTAGCAAAAGTTAGGAGCGATCAACTGAAGACTAGCCACTGCTATTCGACTGACCCACCAAGGTTAGATAAAGTATGCCATGGAATTTAGTACCAAAACGTCTCTACTGCATGACTTGCTCTAAGCACACTCACACTTCAAACTCTTCCACCAACACTGGATCATCCTCATCGATTTCTGACCCATTCCACTTCCAGTAGACAATACCCAGTGCCAGGTCAGTGACATTGCAGATCAGTTGTGTCTGGGATCCTGCAAAGCAATGATTTTTTAAAAAATTTTATCTTGGCAAAATATACACAACAAAATATTTGCCATGTTAACCATTTTAAGTGTGCATGTCAGTAACATCAATTATATTCACCATGCTGTGCCAACCACCAGTACTTTCAAAAGGTTTTCGTCACCCCAGACAGAAGCTCAGTACCCCATAAGCAGTAACTCCCCAGCGCCCCCTCCCTTCAGTCCCTGGTAACCATGAATAAACATGTGCCTCTATGCATATGCTTATTCTAGATATTTTGTATGAGCTCATACCATATTTGTCCTGTTGTATCTGACTTATTTCATTTCGCATAATGTTTTCAGGGTTTATCATTGTCATAGTGTGTATCGGAACTTCATTTCTCTTTATGGTTGAATAACAGTCCCTTGAATGGATGTATCACATGTTGTTTATCCATTCATCTGTTATTGGATACGTGGGTTGTTCCCACCTTTTTGTTATTGTGAATAGTGCTGCAATGAACATTGGTGTACAAGTATCTGTTTGCATCCCAGCTTTTGAGTCTTTTGGGTATATATCTGGAATTGCTGGATCATAGGGTTTTTATTTTTTTTAATTGCACTTTAGATGAAGCTTTACAGATCAAATAGTTTCTCATTAAACAGTTAGTACACACATTGTTTTATGACATTGGTTAACAAGCTCATGACATGTCAACACTCATCCTTCTCGACCTTGGGTTCCCTATTACAGCTTTCCTGTCCCCTCCTGCCTTCTAGTCCTTGTCCCTGGACTACTGTGCCCCATTAGTCTCATTTTGTTTTATGGGGCTGTCTAATCTTTGGCTGAAGGGTGAACTGTGGGAGTGGCTTCATTATTGAGCTAAAAGCGTGGCCGGGGGCCATATTCTCGGGGTTTCTCCAGTCTGTCAGGCCAGTAAGTCTGGTCTTTTTTTTTGTGAGTTAGAATTTTGTTCTATATTTTTCTCCAGCTCTGTCCGGGACCCTCTGTTGTGATCCCTGTCAGAGCAGTAGGTGGTGGTAGCTGGGCACCATCTAGTTGTATTGGACTCAGGCTGGTGGAGGCCGTGGTAGTTGTGGTCCGTTAGTCCTTTGGACTAATCTTTCCATAGGGTTAAGTTTTCATTATTTCAATTAATATTCCCTGTATGTATCCAGAGGGATTACTTCGAATAAAATTTGGAAGTAGAATTAAGTTAAAGGAGATACTCATTTTAAAAGCCAACCCCCTCTCCCAAGCAAGGCTGTGCCAGTCCACATTCCCTCCAATGGTGTGTTCTAGTGCTATTTCCCCCAAACCCTCCAGACACCACGTATTTTTGGCTAGTCATTGCCAACTGAGGGACAAAAAAAATTCCATTTAAATCTTCAACTGCATTTCTTGAACTTGTGGTGAATTAACATGTTTTACATACGCTTAACATTCCCTTGTGTTTCTATTAAGAACTGTTTATCATGCCTACTGTCCATTACTTCATTGCATTCTCCTCTTAACCTTACTCTTTGTTCACCCAAGATATTAACTCTTTATCATACATGAAAAATATTTAAAATAGTTAGAGTTTGTTGCTTTCATTTTATTTTTGTTTATGGAGACAGAAAGAGAGCCTTCCCCTAGAACTGGTGCCCTGAATTGGGACTTCTAGCCTCCTAAACTGTGAGAAAATAAGTTTCTGTTAGTTAAAGCAACCATTTGTTGGTATTTTTGTTGTAGCAGCACTAAGAAACTAAGACACATACCTTGGCTTTTTTCTTTTACTACATCAGTGGGCACTTCTAGATCATGTTAAATAATACTAGTTACGTGGCATACTTGTCTTACTCTTGACTTCATTGAGAAGATCTCTACTGTGTTTCACCATGAAGAATGTTAGTGACTACTGGCTTCAGATTGATGTTATTATCTTAAGGAAGTACTCCTCAACTCCTATTTTTCTATGATATTTTATTAGTAATTGGCATTGAATTTTATCAAATGCCTATTTGACACCATGCAAGATAATCATATGACAGGGTGGTATTGAGACAGATAGGGTTAACTGTGCTGGGGGAATAAAAGAGCTTTTAAAAGACTACCACCTAGAAGCTGGGTAAACAGGAACCACATCCTGTCAACATAAAATAAGGTTAGACAACCCGGGAATTACTACTTCCTCCTTAGTGTTTCTCTAGTCCCTTTCGCCTTCTTACAGGCTCTGCGTGCACAAAAGAACAAAGTGCGACCACTGTTTTGGCCCACCGAAGGGGCGAGGGAATACAGAAGATCAGTGCACCTGTGCCAAATCTCATACATGATGCCGAGAGCTGCCGAGAAGACTCTGTCGTGAATATCAGCAGGTTCCATCTTGGATTCCAGATGCCCGTGCAACCTAATCAGTATGCGCTACCATTCCAAAGAGTAGTCGCCCGTTGAAAGAAGCCCACTGAATATTCATTGCTCTGTTGTCCCCACCGAACCCATATAAGCCCTAGCCTTGCTTCTCCTTGTGAGTCAGTCTTTTTGAGAGGCAAGAGCCCTGACTGACTCCTTTTACTTGTCACAAGTAAAATAAACCTGTTAGAGATGAACCCCAAATTGTCTCCTCTATGTACTCTTACAAGAGAAAGACAAGGACCCATTGAGTCCGGAGGGCCTCGGTAACAGTCGGATGGACTCAGCCTACGGAATCCAGGCCCTTGGAAAGGCAAGTGGCCACCCGGACCTCCTTGTTCGGTGCCTCTTTGAAGGGGTGAGTTTTCCTCAGGCTCGACTCTTCACTTGCGCCCCACTCTGACAGGTTTAGGTTTCTCTTCCCTTTGATCTCCCCACTTTTGCTTCCTAGTCTTCACCCTTTGTCTATAACACTTTTCCTTAAAGCGCTTGGGTTTGTGGAAGGGGTTGAAGACAATAGATCTCTTCCGAGAGAAGAGTGAACACTTCGCCCTGCCGGGTCTGCTCAACCCGGAAGTCTTTGGGCCAGTAACATTAGGATGGTGAGAGATTCGAGTTCTCAAGAAACATCCGAAGGCGGGTGGGGAGGGGTTTGAGTCCCCAAGAAACACCCAAATTTTTGAGACCCCAAGATATATCCTCTGGGCCCAATTTGGCTGCCTACGGGAACGGTGTGAACCTTTCCCTAGGCCTGGACGGCTGGTGAGAGGTTCAAGTCCTCAAGAAACATCCGAAGGCAGGTGGTGAGAGGTTCAAATCCTCCAGAAACACCCACATTTTGTTCTAAAGCCTCTGTTTAGGCGCCATCTTTCCTTTTCTCTTTCCACCTCTGCTTAGGCGTCATCTGGTCAGGACTAAAGTTAACGCTGGCTGAGGTTTGCCATCTCTGTAGTCTCATCCACCAAAGAACCTGGTAAGTGGTGGGAAGACTGTAGTGGGCAGCCAGGGTCCTTACTTTACAGGTGGGTCAGTGACCACCTCACCCATCACCCACTAGAGAACTGCCACCCCTATGTAAGCCAGCCTCTCCCTCTTCTCTTTCTCGTTTTTCACACTGTATCGTGGTGCACAGAAGCCACTCGGTTGGGAGGGAACCAGTGCTGCGTCCCTGACCTTCAAGACTTAGCTCTGATAGGATCATAGTAGCCTTTGACTAGACCTATAGAGAAGCTTAATTTATCAGGCTAATTGGGAAAACAACCTCATCACCGCCTGAAATGAGCAAGCCCACCCTTCCCTGGGCCGATTCTTATAGGAAATAAGAAGTATAGGCTCAGGAAGAAGTGGGGGGAAATCCCGTACGTTCAGGCCTTTATGTCTCTGTATCAAGACCCCCAGCTTAGAGACAAGTGTCGGGTTTGTGTTTTGGGAACTCAGCCATGTTCCCTTGCCCCAGCACCTGAATCAGATTTACTGACTGACCCACTATTTCAACCTCCTCCTCGCCCAACTGCACCCCTATTCCCTGAGAATTTGGAAGCTCGAGAAGGTGACCAAACCCACTTGCGGACAGGAAAACCAGACCCTCTTCCATATAACTCACCAAGACCGCCTACTTCTCTTGAGACTAAGCCAGAAAATGAATCGGGGCTATCACCTATGCGGCTCAGATCTGACAACAGGCTTTACCCCCCAATTGCTCCCCAGTTCCCCGAGACCCTGCCAACCTTAACTCTCTCTTTAAGGCAAATGGTGAATGGGGGTGGGGGTACTACTATGGTACATGTCCCTTATTCTGTCTCAGATATTATTCTGTGTAAAGAAAGGTTTGGGAGTATTTCTGAGAATCCCGATAAGTTAAGAGAAGAGTGTTAAGCTTAGCTCAACTTTTGATTTGACTTGGTGAGATGTTCTTGTGATTTGTACTAACTGCTGCACACCGGATGAAAAAAATGAGGATGCTGGCTAAGGCCCAAGAACATGCAGATAGTCTGGTGCCAACTAACCCACAACGTAACATCTTTAGGGTGGGAGGAGATGAAATCCCCGAACTGGATCCAAAATGAGATTATGAAGATAGGACAGATCTGGGAAGAATGAGGCATTTTTATCACTTGCATTTTGGAGAGAATGAAGAAGTGTGTGACCAAACCAGTTAATTATGATAGGGTTAGAGAAGTGACTCAGGAGGAAGAGGAAAACCCAGCTGTGTTCCTGAAGAGATTAACTGAGGCATTTAAGAAATATACCAACACTGACCCACAGTCAGCCGAGGGGAAAACCCTAGTGGCCATACACTTTATAACCCGGTCCTCTGCAGACATAAGGAGGAAGCTGCAAAAGTTAGAGGCGGGACCCCAAACACTGGTCTCACGACTGGTAGAGGAGGCCTTCAAGGTGTTTAGCAATCGGGACAGGACAGAGAAGGCTAAGAAGGATAGACGGGTGGAATAGAAGGCCCAGTTGTTGGCCACCGTCATCCAAGGGCCGCCTTGAGGTAACTGGTATGGGGTAAGAAGATCGACCTTCCAGAAGCCAGGGAGCCAGCCACAGAGACTGGGACCGAATCAGTTTGGTTACTGCAAGAAAGAGGGGCACTGGGTGAGAGTGTCCTGAGCAGCCCAAAACGGGGCAT